AGCTAGAAGAAAAATTTCTCCACGGGGAAAAATTCAGGTCCGAAAGGGTTAAAGGGAGAGAAGCGTTCACACGAAACTCTGCCTGAGTTGTGCCTTTAAAAACATGGGCCGGAATCGAACTGGCGCGTTATTTTGCTCAAAAATTGGCAAGAATTGTGATGAGGAACGTCAGTGAAAAAAAGCGAAAAGCGCCTCTGAATACATTGAAGATCCGTATGTGATTCGGCCTTGGTATAAAGATAGAGCAGGGTGAAAAGGTAGAGGAATCGTCAACAGCTCCATAAGAATTTTCGCCTCTTCAGTCACGCTTTCTTGCGCGGACGTTATCCCGACACTAGTCTCACACAGTACAGATCCTTAGTCGAGGTTTTCCTCGACTGTCATTCACCCTGACAGAGAGACAAAGCGCTGCGAGGAAAGCGGAAAAGCGAGAGAGCATATCGTGCATGAGAGGGCGCAAACGCCACTTATGTCGAGAATAAATATGGCAGCGCAAGGCACACACAAGGCAAGGCCTTAGTGCCGTTGCCTTGCACTTTTTGAGTAGCGACAGCGTCGTGCCTTCAGGGCTTAGAAAACCCGTCTTTTGCACTATAGGAGGGAATACTTTTCGGCGATTAACCCCGACCCGTTGCTAAGAGCGATCATTTTTTGTTTGAGGCTCAAGTGAGTGATGAACCTAATCCCTGTAGGTATAAACCTGCCGACCTACAGAATTAGTACAGGCCAAAGAACCCCTAAATATTTGTGGAAGAGAAGGAGGGCGTAGCAAGTCCCAAAACGGTTTACTTGTTTCGTAACACACCAACGCACAACATTTTATGTGCTTCTTCTTCTCTTCACAATTCACAACAAGACCAGGACAGGCACTTCGGGCCAGGGTCAACCGCGCGTTCGCACTATTCGAACGAGGGGTCGCATTTTTTACGGGTGTTTTAGTGAGGGGGGTCGCATTCAGGTGTTGAGTGGGATGAAAAGCTTGCTGGGGTGAATAGTTTTTGTGGGATTTTGTGGATGTAATTGGGAGGTAGGATAGGTGGGAGTAGAAGAGAGAAGGTGGGGTAGAGAATGTAGAGAAAGTAGAGAATATGGAGATATACCGCCCCCTCGACGCCTTTTGGAGGATAAGTGAAGTGGGTGGAGTTGGGCTGTGTCGCCAATCAAATACTATAGAAACCCATGATGGTGAGGGTGGTGGTTGGAGAAGAGGAAAGGGGATCGTATAAGGGTAGCCTCCAGAGTCTCATTGTGGTGGTGGGGGGGGCAGCGAGATCCCCCTAAAGGAAGGGGGTCGCGAAATTCTTGGAAGTGCGAACGTCACGGTTGACCCTGCTTCGGACCCCTTCCACGAGGCGATCACGCAACTCAGTCGGTGTCAGGGTAAATAACGGTCGGGGAATTTCTCGACCATGGCTCTGAACCGACGCGTGCGAGACTAGTGCAAAAGCGTGCACGTCGGCTGCGGAAGCCGTAACTGGTCAGGCGAAAATCCTCGAGAGGCAGTTGGGGAATCCTCGACCGATATTCACCCTGGACGGCGTAATGCGCCCCGCCTCGCTTAGATTTCAGTGAGCTATGGAAGCAACGCGTTATAGAGGTCTCGTCCAAACGAGAAAGCCACGGAGAAAACAAAAAAACCTCTGGCCAGTGTTTTTTCATACAGCTGCTGAATTATGTATAAAGCCGTCATCGCTGGCGCGCTACATAACGTGGTTTTGAATAAACAAAATACTGAGCTCAAATATCAGAATGAGTCACCAAGTGGAGAAATTATTCGCTCGAAAACTGCGAGACCATGTTTCGTCAACAAAAAGGAAAAATTTCAGTAAGTAGACGAACAAGGACTATATGCAGTTCGGGCTGGAATCGGTTGAACAACATGAAAGAAGTTAC